GACCTGGAGTTTGAACAGAGTCCCAGTACAATCATCTCCTCTTTGGGGAAGCCCGTGACGATGCACTGCAGTCTGAGGGGGGCGGGGGGGGAGGAGGAGGACCCCCCCGACGTGGTCTGGCTGCTGGACGGAGAACCGGTCCAGTACGCGGACACAAACCAGTTCCAGGTTCCCACTGGGAGCAACAGCTGGACCATCATGAGCACGCTCAGGTGGGGAGAGGTTCAGATTCCAGTCGGTTTTTCCTCTTTGTTAGCTTCTTTTTCTTGAACTTGTCTTTTTCTAGGATGGAATCAGAGTTTTTTTTTTAAGTAAAGCCTGATCCAAGAAAAATAGGAAGAATATTGGATTTTTTTATTCTGAAGTCTTTCTTTGGCCCCTCAACAACATATGAAGAAAAAAAACAAAAGAAATTTTTTGATCAAATCAGCGTGCAATAAGTCAAAAATGTATTTTGGTGTAGTCTTCTACTGGCTGTTATCAGGTATATCTGAATGTGTACAACAGGGGTTTGAGCAAAGCTTTTACCATTGAATGATGCAAAAAGTCTCAGATCCAAAAGAAACCGGATCAGATATGATACATTTGGCTTTATAGGGTTAAGTCTGAAATATTTCTGAGAAAAGCGAAAATTGGGAACTCGATTCTGGGTCGATGGGTTGGAAAGTAATTTGGATGTGATTTAGGAGTCACTTTCTGAGTTTCTTGTTTCTCTTCATCTACCTTTCAGAATTGAGAAGGTCCACCTGACCGACATGGGCTCCTACAGATGTGCGGTTCTGTCCGGAGGCAGCCAGGCTTTGTCCGAGGAGGGCAGCATTCAGCTGGAGGGTGAGCTGGCTGTTGTTAGAGCCACCGGAGCAGGTCCTGGAGCAGGTCCTGGATCTGCTCCTGGAGTAGGTCCTGGATCAGCTCATGGAGTAGGTCCTGGATCAGCTCCTGGAGTAGGTCCTGGATCAGCTCGTGGAGTAGGTCCTGGATCAGCTCGTGGAGTAGGTCCTGGATCAGCTCCTGGAGAAGGTCCTGGAGCAGGTCCTGGATCTGCTCCTGGATCAGCTGCTAGAACAATTCCTGGAGCAGCTCCTGGATCAGGTCCTGGATCAGCTACTAAAGAAGTTCCTGGATCAGATCCTGGATCAGCTCCTGGATCAGATCCTGGATCAGTTACTAAAGAAGTTCCTGGATCAGATCCTGGATCAGGTCCTGGATCAGGTCCTGGATCAGCTACTAAAGCAGTTCCTGGATCAG